GACACTTAACCGACCAAGCCACCCAGGTGCCCCAGCCTATCCCTATTCTCATACATTTAGTAATAATAAAGCCAAAGGTGGCCACATTAGAAAATGGAAAGGAGCCTCCCCTGGTCTCCCTGATGAGAAAGGCAAGGAGAAAGCCAGTTGGTTTGGTTTGTGAATTGGGGGCTTTCTTGCAGTCCTCCCCCTCACACATCCCACTCTGTCCTTCCAGACCTAGGAGGGGAAGAGAGCCTCAGGAAATGAGTCGTCATGGTGTCCTGAGCATCAAGGTATCACGAAGTGACAAGTTTAAAATCTGGTGCTTCCTTCTCTCCTTCTTTTTTTCAGTTTTACTCCAGAGTGTCTGCTCTGAACGAGACTGGCCTCCTTTCAGAACTAGGACAAGGTACATTGTCTTAAGGTATTAAGTGTAAAAGAATTGCTTTGCTTTTTGTGTGGGGAAATGGATTAGTTTTCTAAGGCTGCTATAACAGTACCACAGGTGGGTACTGGGTGAACAACAGAAGTTTCTCACTGTGAGTGTGGGTCTGAGAGTGCGCGTATGTATGTTGTGTAAGTCCCTCATACAGTGGAGAGCCTTGCCGGACAGATACTCAGTTACTTGGTAGCAGCTATCAGAATTAGGACCTAAAGCTCAAAGGAAATTCTGTGGCCTCTCCGTTTGGTAGCACCTGTATCAGAATCACATGTGGTGCTTTTTAAAAATGCTCACCTGTGGGCACTACACCGTATCTACTGAATCATTGTCTTTGGAAGTAGGGCCTAGGAATCTGCATTTTAAACATGTCTCAGGAGATTCTCGGGCAAATAGAATTTGAGGACTGCACTCGTGGCAGGATGTGCTGTTCTGTGTCACCGTGAGGTGGTGACTGTTCTCTCACTTCTCCTAAATACTGTTGCAGGGAAATTATGTAATGCTTTGGTTCCTGGTCTCGCTCCTCTTCACATCTACCTTTAATTGGAACAGGGTTGATGTCTTCTTGCCTTCACACCCCTGCTCTTTGCCTCTGCAAGTATTCCATTTCTGTGGGATCATGCTTCTCTGTGATGGTGGGTAGCTTCTAGAACCTTCTAGGGCATCTAGAAAACGGTAGGCATGTAACTCTTTTGGAGGT